ACTACTACTCTCTCTCTCTCTCTCTCTCTCTCTCTCTCTCTCTCTCTCTCTCTCTCTCTCTCTCTCTCTCTCAAATTGTATTTCTCTTTTGGTTTTCAGAAGCTTTGGAGTGCAACTTCTGTCCAATGCACAGGCTGCTGTTACAGCCAACAAGGTAAATGAACAAACCCTTCACTGCCCTCATTATCTTCCTTGCTTTGTCATGAGAATGATTTTGGCCATACGCAATTTTCCACACTTAGATAAAATCAGGCACTAAAGATTGAGATTTTTTTAATAATGTCTCATTCTATTGGTACGTTCTCTTGGCCTTCCTGGTCTGGAAAGACATTTTATGCAACATATTTGTCCTTCTCTATATTTGTCCACAAGAACCATTGAGCCCTTGAATGTGGCCCTGGTCGAATTCCAAGTTTTTCTTATCTTATGGAAAAAAATCAACGAATAAATCTATGACTTCTTTTTGATGTCCATATCAATCCTACTTATATTAAACCAGGATCAACTCTCTCTTTCGAACTCGCAGTGAATATTTCGCCATGAGACGAAGGAAACCCTCCCAGTGCATTTATTAAATCTTGAGATGCTGACTCCAGTTTCTTCTTTCTCAACCTCCTTCTCTCTTCTTGACAAGACTTCTTCCTCTATCAATGTCTTCAAAGTATAAAATAGACTTATGCGCAGTAGACATCAGAGCTCGTATTTGTTTTTCAGCATCTCCAACTCAAAATTATATTTAAAAAAATGCGCAATTGCAGCTATACTTGTTGTCTTACCAGTTTGGGGTGGCCCATGTCCATATCATTCTATATTGAGAGCAAAGACTTTCTTTTGATATAAACACCTTAAGTTCATGAAATAATCAATTCTTTTTATCCAATTTCATAGCAATGTTTTCCATGGGAGAGAGAGATTGGCCTACAGCTTGAGGCCGCAGACCTGAGAGTGGGATTGCTTGTGGCTTGGGGTCGTAGACCCGAGAGAGAGAGAGAGAGATTGGCTTGTGGCTTGGGGCTGCAGGCCCGAGAGTGGGAGAGAAGTTAGGAGAGATTGGGAGGGAGAAGAGAGTGAAGGGGAAAGAGAGAGAAAGAGAGGGGAGAGAGGGAGAGTGAGAGTGAGAGAAGATAGGGAGAAAGAGATAACGAGAGGGGCACTGTAGGCCCGAGAGGGGGGAGAGATCGAAGAGAGGAGGAGAGAGGAAGTAAGACAGTGAGGGAGAAGATAGCTAAGAGAGAAGAGAGAAAGGAGAGTAAGAGAAAGAAAGTGGGCCTGTGGCCTACCCAAGGCCACAGGCAGGCCAGAGAGAGAGAGAGAGAAAGAGAGAGGAGGGCTGCATGCTCGAGAGGGAGAGAGATTGAAGAGAGGACAGAGATTGAAGAGAAGAGAGAGCTGTAAGAGATAAGAGATGAGAGATAAGAGAAGAGAGAGAAAAGGAGAGGAGAGAAAGAAAAAAAGAAGCGAGAGAGAGGGTAGGGAGAGAGATGGAAGAGAGAAGTGGGCACACGCTCAAGAGAGGTGGAGGAGAGACAAAGATAGGGGAGAGGAAGAGAGAGATAAAAGGAGAGATGGGATAGAGAGAGAGGGAGAGGGAGAGGGAGAAGGATCGAGAGAGTGAGAGGGAGAGAGAGAGATCGAGAGAGAAGAAGAGAGAAAAAGAGAGAGGAGAGAGGGGAGAGAAAAAAGGAGAGAAGAAGAGGAGAGAGAGGGATGAGAGTGGGTTTGTAGCTTAGACCTGTTGTGGGCTCGAGAGAGAAGAGAGAGAAAGAAAAGAGTTAGGAAGAGAGAGAAAGGGGAAGGCGAGAGAGGAAGAGAGAGAAAGGGAGAGAGAGAAAGCGAGAATGATCGACAGAGTGAGGGGGAGAGAGATAGATCGAGAGAGAATAAGAAAGAAAAAGAGAGCGGAGAGAGGGGAGAGAGAAAGGGAGAGAAGAAGAGGAGAGAGAGGGATAAGAGTGGGCTCGTAGCTTAGGCTTGTTGTGGGCCTGAGAGAGAAGAGAGAGAGAGAAAGAAAAGAGGAGAGAAGAGAGAGAAAGGGGAAGG